CTTTCTGTGAAAATAATCCATTTCAAAATCCATTTGAAATTAATATTAAAAAAGTAGCAAAGTACGCGCAAAGTTAATAAAAAAATATCTTATTAAAAAAATTGTTAAATAAAAATTTTTATTTAAAGCTAAATTTAATAATTTATTAAAGCTATAAAATTTTTCATTAAGCTTGAAATGCTTCAAGTTACTAACTAGAAAAGTCACTGGAGTGCAAGTACAAAGAGTGCAACCAACGCAAACAAACCTTAGATGTGCTTTTGCGCATGAAAATGTTTAACCAATGAGAATAGTGGAACAAATAGTCAGTCATATTAATATATCAGCCAATCAGCATTTTTCTCGCGATATTCAAAAAGTAGTAGTAATAAATAAGCTAGATCCTCATGCAGACATAGGCACTTTGACACAGAGCATTAATTGGTGAAAAATGAATGGGTGGGAGTAAATAATACTTACTATTTACTCCCACCACTTATTTTTCATCAATTAGTGCTCTGTGTTAAAGCGTCGGTGTCTGTATGAGGATCCAGCTTAAGGAAAGACTGAATTTATTTAATTGAAAACTATTATTGTGACTTTTATTATTAATAAATATTAAATCTTCTATTATCAAATCACATGTCACGTAGTTACAAATTTGTACTTTACTATTATTTTTCAATATGAAAGACGATTTGTTCCAACGCCATATCTGTGCAGAATGAATCCAAATTGGGTCTACCTCACGAGCACACTTTGTTTCTTTACAGCGCTCGATTAGTTGCATATTTCGAGTCGATTTCGAAGGCGACGCCTACAGTTCCCTTACCACCGCTCGAGTCTTAGTGGTCGAAAATTATTTTTATTTTTATGAATAAAATGTTGAATTTTCTATTATTAATATATATTGTATTGCTTTATTTATGGGTATTTGTTTTTCAAGTATAATAGATATCAAATATCTCAAAAGATATGAAAAATATGGAAAAACATTTCAGATAAAAATTTTATAGCTATAGAGAAAAAGCTAATAACATTATCAATTTCATTGTAAATAGCGCCACTTTCGAGATTTTTTTATAATTGCCATTCTTTTAAATGGAATCATATTTTTTGTTATGCAATATGATTCCTCTAGTAACTAGAGGAGATTCAACGTTTTATTTATTTATAAAAATAAAAATAATTTAGCAAACAGATATCTAATGACAGTTTGGGACGAAAGTACGGATGGCATGTTTCTCATACAGCGACACTCCTGAGGCACAACCGTTCGGCTCGGCCGCTGAGACTCAAGCGGTAGGGGAACGTCGCCCATAGACATAGATAGACCGAACATGCTATATACCAGGCAATGGGCGACATGTGCAAGTGAGAAGAAACAACACCTGATTTTTTTCTCTCTCTCTGATAAAAAAAGGTGGGGAAAACATTAAGTGGAGATTGTGGCTAAGGTCCCTCTCATAGAATGCTTTCCATTTAGTGACACAAGTCGACACAAGTATCATTTTGTCCTTGTT